TATGTATGTATGTATGTACGTGCGCGCGTGCGTTTGCTACGAAACCGTCGAAACCTTTGTACCAAGAAGCCCTAGTCCTTAGCCCGGTGCACCTGAAGCTTTAAGGCTTTTACCTAGCACGCAAGACCCGGGTCCCTTAACCCGAAACCCCAAAAACGCTAGACTTCCCGACGCTCTAAACCCAATCCTTTGTGTTTATAATCCTTTATGGAAGTATACACTAACTTCTAGAACCTGCATCGCGAGCTTGTGGAACCCTGATAGAACATAAAGACTCCCTGGCGTGGGACGTGGTGTTCAGGTCCACGACGAGTGAGTGGGCAGGCAGGCTTCGGGATGCACGATTTCGGCCTAAGGGTTCAGGGTTTGGCTTTTGGGGCTCTAAGGGTATCCAAGGGTAGGGTTTAGGCTTTAATTATTGCCAGCAACTTTCTGAACGAGTTGTGTTTGCTGTGCGGTCTGAACTCATGTTCCCAATTTCCACCAAGCTTGGACTTCTCGGTAGCTGTCGTAGCTATACACTCCTAATGTCCGCAGCACACGACGGTGAACGTGCTTAGTTGAGCCCTGCTAGGACATAAGTCGTTTGTATAGTGTTATCCTGTTGCACGGTCTCATGTTCTGACAATGTGCTTCTCCGGTTGAAAGCTTTAAAGGAAAAGACGTTGAGTGGACATATATTTGCGAGACATCGGGTTTTCCAAGAGAGTCTTCGAATGTGCCGGAGGATGCATAGAGCACAAGGCGAATTTGCTCAGCATGTTTTCAGTCCTTCTGTGGAAAAGCAACCATCTGGCACAAAACAACCGGGTTCACGCGATTCGCCGTCGCCCGTCATGGCCCCAAACACTCTAAAGACTACATGCTCTGAATCTCAACCAACCCGTCAACCCTAGAAGCTCCGTAAGCCCTAAGCCGAAAGTCTACAAACCCTGAGCCCCGTAAACGGTAAGTTTTTTGGCCCTATACCATTCAAATCCGCTACCCAAACCCTAGACTAGACTCGATCTTAAATCTGCACATTGTCAGGCCTAGACCGCAAAATTCACTCGAATTTTCGACCCCTTCCTTCTGAAATCCAATCCCTTACACGTAAAGGAGCCTCACGGTTTAGGGTTTAGGGTTTTGGGTTTAGGGTTTTGGGTTGAGGGTTGAGGGTTTAGGGTTTAGAACACCGTCTTCGAAAGTCAGGTCGAACCCCAAAACTCCGAGCTACCCGGGCGTGAAGACACCTTGGAGTTCGAAGCCTCCAGGGAAGAGGAGGCTTCGGTTCGAAGATGTTGGGATATTCTGGGATATTTGGGACTTTAGGGTTGAGGAAAAGATTGGGGTATATTGGGGCTTACGATTTAGGAAGACTTGGGGACATTTTGGGCTTTAACGTTCAGGAAGATCTTGGTCAAATGTTGGGCTTGAGATTTGTTGAGCTTGAGGGGTTTAGGGGTAAAGCTTCACCAGTTTCGGGATGTAAGTTAGGGTTTAGGGTTTAGGGTTTAGGGGTAAAGCTTCACCAGTTTCGGGATGTAAGGAACTGGGAACAGTGTCACGAATCATTCCGACCCCACAGGGTTATAGTGCCAAGCCCAAACCCGAAGGGGGTTTGCAGCTTTGGGTTTCGGGCTGTCGGGCCCTGTGGCTGAACCCTAAATCCCTTAACCCCAAACCTACACCCTACACCTTAGCAGAGTGTATGGAAGTTAGGGGTGTTGCGAGATGTTGGATGTGGGGACTGTCGGGGATTTAGGTCTATAGAGTTGTTTGAGTGTGTCCACTGGGTCTCTTTTTTTTATCAGCTGATATTTAAGCTTTGTTGATACTCTGTTGCAAAAGTTGGTTTTGTACGTGGATGCTGTTCTGAAAGGTACTCGTGTATTTCTGGGTTGCTAGGCAAGCAAGTAGTCGTGCTTCGCCTCGCACGCAACTGCGTCATGACGTGGTTCGAGTTTGGGCCATGCCACGCCATGCCATGTCCCTCTTTAGCAGCTCCGCACTGCTTCCTGTGGACGGCTCTCACTTCCTTATAACCCTGAGCGCCCACACCCAAGCACTTCAAACATGAGATCCAAAACCACTCAACCATGAGACCTGCAACAGAATCTCCAATTCCCAACCTTTGATCTTGAGCCACCAAGACCTATGACCGTCCAGCGACATGAGTTCCCCTCAGACCTGTGCACAAGCCCGGAACCAACACATCTATACATGTGTATATGTGTACATCTGCATGCGCGCATATACAGCGTGCATACATACACGACGCGTACAGACGCACATGTACATATGTACATATAAGCAATTATATTATATTATAATTACATGTAAGTCAGCTATAATCAGCTTTGTAAGCCTTATGAAACCCCAAGATTCATGATGAAGCGCTGGGCAGGTGCAGCTGGCATATTTGGTCCCACCCTGGTCGCTGCGAGAGCATCTGCACCTGGACTCGGCTCCTTGTTTGCAAGGGCAGACTTGGGTGTTGACCCTTCGGGTCCAGGTTCTGGGGTGTGTGACACCCTAAACCCTAAACCCTAAACCCTAATTGGCTTTCCGCTTGGCGTCGGGCTTCACAGTGCAGAGTCTCCCCCGGCTTTCAGGGTTCTGTTCTTTTCCTCAGGGCCGTGTATAACCCTTAGCATCAAAATAGCCCCCCAAAAAGCCTTATATAATGGGGTCTTTGGGCCCCCAAAAGCCTTAGAATATGAGTTCCTTGAGGGTAAGGGTGCAAGGGCCTGCTCAGGACTTTATGTAGGCCGTCCGCGGGCTGACGGTAGGCGAACATCTGCATCCTGGTTTTGATAGGATATGGGGACCTCTCGGACGGTGAATCGTCAGCTTCAAAGCTTCCTTAGCGCCAAGCACGTTCAAAGGAGCCCTGCCTAAACCCTAAACCCTAAAGCCCTGAGCCCCAAACCGCAAGCCTCGAACGCCGTCGACTTCTGCCTTCGCCCAGCAAGAGGGAAACACGGAGCCTTGGATCCTGCACTCTAAACCCTAAGCGCTATAATATAGGGGCCTTCATAATTAGAATAGGGGTTTGGGGGTAGATTATTTCATAATCATATCAAGGAACCCCCGAAATCCTATTCTAATTACAAAAAGGCCCCTACATTTTGCCCTCACCTCCTCGGGTGAAAGGAGAGGTATTTGCCACGCGACGACACGCCCATGGACCCGGAAGTTTGCGCCATTCTCAAGGGCTTGGAGAGAGCGTCTCGGCCCGACGGATAACCCTACAAACCCACGAAGCTTTCTTTTAGGGTTTAGGGGTTTAGGGGTTTAGGGTTTTGTAAGCCCCGAAAGGTTTAGAGTTTAGGGGTTAGGGTACGGTTTAGGGTTTAGGGTTCAGGGTTTAGTAAACCCCGAACCCCCTGAAGACTTTGAAGGAAGTGAAGCTTCAGGCGTAAGGCGTAAGGCTGATCTTAAAGGCTGTGATGAGTTCGGGGTTCCAGATCTTGTGGTGTTTGGGGTTTTGGCTACCATGCTTTTTTGGATCGTGGTTAACCCTAAACCCTGAACCCTGTGAACCCCAAACCCCTTGGAAACCCCAAACCCCTAATAAAGGGGCCTAAATAATTATCTCTACTATTTTTTTTGGGGGGCTCCTTATTATAATTACAGTATAATGTGCCCCCAAAAGCCTCAGCCTAATTTAAAAGGCCCCTACATTCCCTAAACCAGAAGCCCTAAACCCTAAAATGAATGAACCCTGAGCCCTGAAACCCTAAAGCCCTAAACCCCTAAAGCCCTAAACCCCTAAACCTTAAAGCCCCAAACCCTAAACCCCTAAACCCTAAACCCCTAGGGTTTAGGGGTTTAGGGTTTAGGGCTTTAGGGGTTTAGGGTTTTGG